CTGTCTGGAAGGTGCAAGGTCCTTAGTTTGATTCCCAGCACCAGAAAAAAAAAAAGAAAAAAAAAAACCTTGCTTGAGTCTGAGTTATATGGCCACAGATTAATTGATCTTGTGGAGGGAATTTCAAGACAGCAGTTGTTCAGATGATAGCATGGATTTTGCTGGTTCTTTGTTGTGCTTAATATCAAACCCAGGGTCTAATGTGTGTCAGCTAAGCATTTTGCTAGTAGGCTTCATCCACATCTCTTGTTTTAGTCAGATTTACAGTGAGAATCAGAAGCAAGAAGTGGAGCTGCAAGATTTGAAAAATTTGTAGCTTGGCCATGGAAGAAGCACATGTTAACTTGGGGCCGAAGGAGGAGTGGTTGCTTAGGAGGTTAGCACCATCAAAAAGAAACCAAGTATTTTGACCAGTACAATAGGAAAGATGCCTGAAGAGCATCTCAACTGTTTAGACCCTAGCCATGGTAGGCTCAAGAGTGTAAAAGTGTAAAACTGTTTGCATGACTTTGCTTTCAACAACTTTACGTGTGTTTTTGACATCCTTGCTTGGAAGTCTTATCTTGAAGCCTTTGTTTTGAAGAGAAGAGAGCCTAGGGGTGTTCTCAGTCAAGGCCTCATAAGGAAGTGTTTCTCATATTTAAACATCCAGGAATACAAAGACTGCTGCAGCCATGGTCCCAGGGGGCTAGGCTGCTGCTTGCACTGGGGCAGTCCACAGAATCATCCATGTGGTGCAAGTTTTACAGGCATGCAGAATACAAAAGTGATGGGGTCACAGAGGCTTCCACAGAATTTTCAAAGAAAGGCTTAGGAGACCAGGCAATGTCCCTCCATGGAGCCCCTGAGAAGGTGATGTGTGAAGTTGTAGGAGTGAGGTCAAAGCTACAGTGGAAACCCCAGCAAGTTGGAGATGCCAACAATGTGGAACATATGTTGAGGAAACCCATACCCATTAAGCAGAGCCATGGCCCTAAGAGAGGGGCCATGTGGGTAGCAACCAGCTAGGCCATAGAGGCAGAGCTGCCTAAGCCCACTGGAGCTCACATCTCATCATCACATGCCCTAGACACTGGACATATAGCTTCAGGATTCAATGTTTTCTCTGCTGGGTTTTGGTCTTACTTTGGTTCAGTTCCTTTCTTTTCTCCTATTTCTACTTTTTGGAAAGTGAATATTTAACCTGTGATATTGTATCTTGGAATATGTAACTTGGTTTTTTATCCTTATACAAGCTTGCAGCTAAAAACTTGCCTTGAGTTCCAGAGGAGACTTTAGACTTGGACTTATGAGCAATTCTGGAACTGGTAAGACTTTGAGGACTCTATAAAATGTACTAGATGCATTTCATATTATGAGATAGATATAGTCCTTTGAGGGCCGGGGATGGAATATTGCGGCTTAAGTATGAAACTGTCTTCAAAGACTCATGTAGTAAGGGCTTGATCCCCAATGTAACAATATTCAGAGGTGGGGCCTACAAAAGTAATTGGATGATGAGGGCACTAACCTCATCAATGGATTAGTCCATTGGCTTGGGAATGGAGGAGAGGTCTAGTTGGAGGAAGTGAATCACTTCATGTTTTTGAAGGGTATATCTATTCTTAAGCTCTTTCCCTCTCTGTGTTCTTCCTGGCTGTCATGATGTGAGCATCTTTCCTGTGCCACCCCTTCTGCCATGATGTTTCTGCCTTAGAGCCAGCCAATCATAAATAAACTAAAACCTCTGAAACCCTGAGATGAAATAAATCTTTTCTTTAATTTTTTTTTTAGATATTTGGTCCCAACACTGAAAGGATAACTAATTTTTGTTTGTTTGTGATACTAGTAATTGAACCTAGGGCCTTCACACTAAGCTACACATGCAGCTTTTTTTTTTTTTTTTTTTTTTTTTTTTTAAATTTTTGAGACAAGAGCTCACTAAGTCCCTAAATCTCTCAGGCTGGGTTTAAACTTTTAATCCTTCTGCCTTGGCCATTAAGTAGCTTTGGAGGGAGAAGGAAAGGTTGGGGTACTGAAAGCATCTTGTGAGCTTAGCCTTCAGTTGCCTTATAGAACACATGTGTGAGATGGAGTGGGGTGGGAGGTTTAGAAGGTGGAAAAGTAGTGGAAATGTGAACTGGTATCAGTAGAGGAAAGAAGACTAAAGAGAATTTGAAAGTTTAAGGGCAAATTTTATCTTTTCTTATATTTACCTCTAACCAAATCCTACCTTCAATTATACATTATTTCAAAGAACAATTCTACTCTGGTTTCCTGGGCATTTCAAACATTCCTAGGAGCCACCAAGCTAGCTGCTCTTTACTGGTGATACTTCCTTATTTCCTAATATTCCTTCACCTGTTGGAAGAGTGGTAAGTGTATCTGGGAATAGATGCATCCAAATCCATACTATTGCTCTCCATAGTCACATATGTCTACATAGGACAAGGGATTTCCCAATTCATTCTATGAAGGTATTATTCTCTGAGTGCTAAAACCAGAAAGAAAGAAAAGACACTACAAAAAATAAAAAATTGCAAACCAATATTTCTTATGAAGGTAAACATGGGAACCCTTAAAAGTCATAGCTAGTAGAATTCAGAAATATTAGAAGAATTAATTACGCACCAGGACCAAGAAGATTTCATCTTAGATATTCAAGGCTCATTTAATTTTCAAATGTCAATCGATGTAATAATCCACCATATTCACAGGCTGAAGAAGAAAAATATTATGTGAATATATTAATTAATGCAGAAAAGCATTTGACAAAATTCAATGACATTGATAAAAAGAATAAAGCAATAAAAAGAAAAAGAAATAAGAATAAAAGAAAAAGAATAAAGAATAAAAATAAAGAATAAAGTCCAAAAAGAAAATCCTTAACTAATATTATACTTAACAGTGAAAGAAGACAAAATGCTAACCCCCACGACAGGGACAAGAGAAGATTAATTTTCATCCATGCCATTTATGTAGCACTGGATTCTCTATCCGTTGCACAAAGGCAAAAGTAAAACAAAATACACATTTCAGAAAGGAAGAAATAAAATTGTCTCTCTCCTCAGAGGACATAATTATTTACATAGAAAATTCCAAGAAATCTACCAAAAAGAAAAACTCTTTAAATTGAGTGCATCGAGACTATAATATTCAAGACTAATGTACAAAAACAAATCACATTTCTAAACATTAGTAATAAATACATGTAAGCAAAAATTAGAAATATGCTACTTACAAATGAAATACTTGGGCATTACCTAAAGTATTTAGATATACCAAAAAATATTTAGGTGCAAATCTAACAAAATATGTACAGGGCTTATATGTGAAAACTTCAAAATATCATTGAAAGATAAACATGTGAAGAGAAATATGCTCATGGATTGGAAGACTGAAGTTAGCAAAGCTTTTTTGGTAGACATATACAAGCTTATTATAAAATTTATATGCAGAAGCAGATATAGGAAGCAGGAGAAATCACTATACTTGATTTCATGATTTATTACTGTGGGTAGCTACAGTAATTAAGACTATGGGGGAGACCTAGACTCTATATCTATATCAAGGAGCAGAATACAGAGACCAAAATGCAAAATGTAAAACCATAGTCCATTTAGAAAATTACTTAAGAAAAAAATTTTAGACATAGGGTTTGGCGAAGAATTACTGGAGTGAACACTAAAAGCATAATTAATAAAAGAAAAAGTTGACAAGCATGGCAGTCAAAATTAAAATCTGTTCTGTAAAAGATACTGTCAGGAAGATAACAAGCTCAGACTAGGAGAAAATATTTACAAATTACTTCACAAAGGATGTATCTAGAATATAAAAGGAATTCTCATCCCAACAACAAATAAAACAAATAGTTTAATTAGAAAATGGACAAAACACTTAAACATTTCATCAAAGAAGATACTTAGCAAATAAACACGTAGAATTTTCAGTATAACTAGATATTAGTGGAATGCGAATTAAGATCTCAGTGAGATATCACTATCTATTTATTAGAATAGCTCAAACAAAACTGACAATATCAAATTCTAGCAAGTGTGTGGAGAAACTGAATCTCTCATGCATCATTGGTAAAAATGTAAAATGATACAGCTACTTTGGAAACTTCTTTGAAAATTTCTAAAAATTAAATCTACACATCACTGACTCAACAAAGTTCTTGTGGTATTTTTCATAGAAATTAAAACTATATCAACATAAAAATGAGTATTTGATTCTTCCTAGCAGCTTTATCCATAAAAGCCCAAAGCTGGTAGCAAGCAAAATGTCCAGTAAGTGAAAGGATAAACAAACTATGGTACATGGCGATGAAGAACAGCCATACAACATCTACGGTAAATTGAAAGGGCATTAAAGTCATCAAAAGCTTACACAAGCTACGATTCTATTTATATAACCTTCTGATAAAATTACAGAACTGTGTAACAGACCAGTGATGGCTAGGAGTCAGACATGGTGGAGGAAGGAGCCAGGTCGGGCCAAAAGGAGACTGTATGCTAGAAATCTTTCAGGTGATCAGGGCTATGTATCTTGATTTTGATAGGCTCCATGAATCAGTTTTCGGTTAAACAGACACAGAACTATGCACACACATTGTAGCTCTGTCATATTTCTGGTTTCGTGCTGTACCATAACTAAGATGTAATCAGTGGGCAAATTCAGTGAATGGTAAATGGGTTTCTCGGCACTATCCTTGCACTTTCCTGTCTTGTGCAATTAGTTTTAATACACAAAATAACTTCAAATAAGCCCTGCCTAGGCTGACATTTGCAAGATGGGAAACTTTGAGCCTATAGAAAAACAATTTTACATTTCAGCACGACCTGGGCCCCGAGGAGTTCGCTAAGCAGGCAGGTAGGTGAAGAACCCGGGATGTCTTTCTGTGGCTGTGGGAGCCAAGCGGGAGGCGGTGCCCGCCCTGCTAAAGCGGAGAGGGCGGGGTGCAGCAGGGCTCGGCCCCACCCTCTGCCGCTCCCTGAGTGCAACCGGCGAAGCTATCTGAATCAAGAGTCGCCAGCCGATCCTCGAGAGGCGCTCGTCTCTCTTTAATTCTGGACGGAAGATCTCAACGCCTGGGTTAGACAAGAGCTGGAGAACTTTTTTATTTTTCTTGAGCTGAGAACATTTTTGAACAATGAGTTGAGTCTCCCATGCACTAGTCCCCACCTCTTTATTGTGGGTTTGATCAGTGTGCTGCTTTCCTCCTCCTGAGCCTCCCAGGGTGCAGCCAGGAGCCCCTGTGAGGGAACCACGCGGATGGCCGGGCAGTAGCGGGTGGTGCCCAGCGTCCCAGGAGCTCACGACATGCAGACGCTCAACATCACCCCCGAGCAGTTCACACGGCTGCTGCGGGACCACAACCTGACGCGAGAGCAGTTCATCGCACTGTACGGGCTTCAGCCGCTCGTCTACACCCCGGAGCTGCCCGCGCGCGCCAAGCTGGCCTTCGTTCTCACCGGAGTGCTCATTTTCGCCCTGGCGCTTTTTGGCAACGCGCTGGTGGTCTATGTGGTGACTCGCAGCAAGGCCATGCGCACCGTCACCAACATCTTCATCTGTTCCTTGGCGCTTAGCGACCTGCTGATCACCTTCTTCTGCATCCCGGTTACTATGCTGCAGAACATCTGGGACAACTGGCTAGGGGGTAAGAGCCTGCGCCCCGTGCCTTCTCTAGTAGCCCCCGCCCTTCCAGGGATCACCACACAGAAACCACACTCTTCCGACCTCCTCACACTGCTGTCACTGTGGAATGAATCCCATCTTCTTTCTGGGAACTTCCTCTCTTGAGCTCACTTGGAGATAAGCTTTTATTGTTGTTGTCACTTGTGATTTGGTCCAGCGTTATGTCCTTGTGGCTTAGAAATGCAGGTTGGGGTAAAGTTGCAGAAGGCCCAGAACAGTCACACTGCTCTCCACTTACTTCAGCTCCCCTTTGCATAATTCCCCCCACTTTTCTATTTTTAAATAAAAATATTTTTTAAATTAAGATAAAAATATTTCAAATCATGATTTTTAAGTTAAAAATCATATCTTCTCACTTTCCCCCAACCACCAGGCTGGCTTGTCAGTTGTCTGTATGACATCCACACAATTTCTTTTATGCACTAGCAAATAATCGTATGTTGAAAATACAAATATATATTTGTAGGAAAAATATCTTGCACTAGTCCTTCTGTTTAAAAATTGTATTAATAGAGACATGCAGGGAGATGGAACACAGAAAACAGATGCCCTCCTGATTGGAAAGGAGAGATGAAATTCTCTTTCGGAGAGTGGAGCAGAAATGACAAAGAAACCTTTGGAGTCATTGAGGTAGGGACAATGAGTGGAGGCTGGAAAAAGACATTGGACCTTCCAGTCTTCACAAAGAAGCACAAATAGAGTGTAATCCCATCAAGAGTTGTGTATTGTGTTCTTAACCATTGTTTAAGGTACACCTGGGAAGGAAGCAGAGGTGATACCCTCATTGTCGTGAATGAGTGTAATCTCGAGACCATATAAAAATTCTTAGAAAATGATTGGAAATGTAAGAGAAAATGGACCATTATGCCTTAAAGCTGTGCCATTTCTGTCTCTTCCCCATTTCTTCCAAAATCATGGAAAGTATTTCTTTCATCCCACCATAACCAAGTGGAGCTCTTTAGTTCCTTTCATTAGTAATGCTGTTTTCTATTAACATGCACTGAGTATACTGTTAATGGGTCACATAGCTAAATCTTGGACATCCATCTCATCTATATTTCTAAAAATGTGTTTCTAAAAAACACACCATAAAGTGAATACCTAGTGTTGATTTGAAGGTGACACATAATGTGGAAAGTCATAAATTGCTTTATAGATTAGAAACTTTCTTGCACTTGGTAATAATTGCATTTGGGCATTTTAAAGTTGTTCAGTGCAATTGACTCCATCAAATTAAAGACAGAATTCTGGATCCTTATAAGAACTTGGTTTTTGATAAAAGGACACAAGACTGTGCTGGGGATATAGCTCAGTAGTAAAAGGATTGCCTGGCATGTGTTCAGTCCCCAATATGACAAACACACAGATACACACACAGACACAGACACACACACACACATGTGCACAGGCACAGGTTTTATCATTTCTAAGTGTTTCTAAAAGGTTGATTTATGAAGCATATTAGTACTGCTGGATGATTATAGTTCCATTTGTAAAGGTAAATAAAATTAAGCACTATGGAATCTTTTAACGGAAGTCAAAAGACCTGAATAATTACTTTGGCTTTAATGTATGTAAATTCAAGAAGTCTGTCCCTCAGTTTTTTCAATAAAAAACTAGAGAATTAGAGAAGTGTGCAAGAGGAATGAGGCAGATCTTTAACCTGAGCCATACTGAGGAACAATGCTCGGGGAAGACCATATATAGGTCTTCTCTACTGAGGGTGTAGGTGAGACTGCCAAGTTTTTCCTCAAACAATTTTTAACCTTGCTTTCCATTTCATAGGAGATATCTCACTTTAGTCTCTAAATGACAAAAAAGAGAATAATATTTTGCTTATATATTTTATAGGTTTAGTGTGAAAAGAAGGTGTGTTAATAAAATGCTTTGGAAAAAAACTGATCACACAGTAAAAGTATGAGGAAAAGCATTAGGAATGTTTAATTGGAGGTGATCTGTGTTTATCTGGGATCAGATTCATAGGATAAATTATATTCTATAACCAAGCAACACTAAAACTGAAGTTCAGGAGAGGAGAGAGCCTACAAAAGAGCTGGAGAAAGATATGGAAAGATAATTAACTTGTGTATTATAGGATAGGATAATAATTACAGAACTCCCTCAACAAATTAAAAAAGGAGAATTCAAGAGAATAATCTTGGAGCTGAAATTAATTCATAATTTATTATTTGATAAAGCTATTGAGAATCTTCTATATGGCAAAGCATCCTACCATGAGAATACAAATATGAAAGCTCATCTAAGCCTTCATATGCCTCAAGAATAGGAGATACTTCCAAGTGAGGAAGATCAAATGTGATGGAAAGTATCTAGTCTGTTTCTATTTCTTTGTTTATGTTCTGCCTTTTGATGGTTTTCATAGTTCCTTGTGTTTTGTGTCTGGTGAAGCTTGGTGTGAAATTTATTTTCTTTCATTATTCCTTTCTGCATAGGGGCTGTTGTCAGGTCCCTCATTTATTTGGCAATGATTCTGAATTCACTTTCTAATCATTACTTTCAATCATAGTCTTTCACCTGATTTCAGCACAGGGCATTTACATGTGGATATCTTGTCAGCATCAAATTATGCTTTCATCCTATTTTGTCTGTCTGCCTAGGGTCCAAATTATAATTAATGGTACTATGAATCATTCTTATATTCTACATATTCTGGGCATCTACTTTGTGTGCTGGGATATTGTAGGTGTTCAAAAAGCTGTGTTTTTGTGGAATAGCTAGGTTTCAATTAGATCAAAAAGGGAAATGAAGTGTTCAAAGAAGAGGTAGAGAATGCCAGGGGCAAGGGTTTGGGGTTGTAGCTGTCAGCTTTCCAGATTGCACAGTGCAAGTGTGGGGAAGTGAAGAGATGGAATCAGATTGGGGGATGTTTAGAGCCTGATGGGTTTGAGTTCAGGGGAAAAGGATGGTCTAAGACATAATGGGACTTGTGCTGCCTGAAGTAAATGAAAACTTAAGGTGTAGGGTGATTAATTTTGAATATCTCCAAGAAGGAGATGGAAAATCAGTTCTAATTCTAGCTGCCTTGGTCCTAGGTATTAATAAGGTGAGAAGGGGAGGGTGTGGAGTAGTGGTCTTGCTAAGAGCCTGCAGAGCACTGTGTCCACTTTCATCCTCCTTGGTTACAGCTAGGCCCTGGGCCAGGAATGGTCTTCCCTGGTGAACATAGAGCTCTGCGGGTCTCTTGCAATCCTGCTGTGGGCAGCGAAAAAGAATTTATCAAATGGTGGCTGGTAAATTGTCTAAAAGCAATTCCAAAACAAGGAACTTCAAAATCATTTTAAGTAATGGTAACATCACAGAGAGAAGTGTGCATCCATGTACTACATTTGAAGAGTTCTCACTTAGATAAGAAAATGTAGAAAATTAATGTTCTTGTATGTCACCAAGATTTAGAACAATTCCTCTAAGAATTATTCTAAATCTTGGTGACATACAAGAATCACTTGGGGAGATTTTAAAGACATAGACGCCTGGTTCCCAACCCTAGAGATTTTGATTTAATTGACTTGCATGTGATAATCAGTATCAAGTTTTTGAAAAGCTCCCCAAACTAAAAAAAGATTATAATTTGCACCCAAAGTTAAGAACCAGTGATGTAGCATAAATGCCGACAGCACAAAGACATGGGCTGTTAGGAGGGTTCAAATGAAGAAATAATGGATATAAAGTTTAAAATAGCACAGTGCCTTCTGCGTGTACCCACTCAGTATAACTGTTATATTTTTAAGGCTAGGAATTGGAGTAAAAAAGTTTGGAAAATGCAGAAGTGGGTATATGGAGACCAACAAGAACCTTTGCGACAAACATTGTGGGAATCCCATTATGTCTTCACTGAAGCCCTTAACCTTTTTGGAGTGTTTTAAGACATATTTGGGAAGGAGTCAAAGATAGTAAAAAGATTGAAATACAATATATACAAAAAGGACTAGAAGAATTATTCTCTTGCTTGGATAATACAACTCCAGTTATAAATTAGCACACTAAAACAGTAAAAGTTTCCAGTTAATTTTACTCAAAACCACAGGGACAGTTGTGGGTAGGTGTGGAGTAGGCAAGACACTCATTCTTCATCAGAACATCACCTACCTTTTGTAAAATAATTAAAGCTTTGAATATGACTTGATATGAAGAGGGAAGGAGGGAGGGAGGGAGGGAGAGAAGGAGGGAAGCAAGGAAAGAAAAAGCCTGTATTGTATATGCATGAACTATTTGATGAGTGTTAGAGATTGAGAGCTAATAAATTATAAAATGAGTTAAAGGAAATTGTTGAAATTTTATTTGGCAAAAGATAATAATTTTGGCAACCAATTCAGAGGAGAAGACTTAATCTGCAACTTCTTCAGTTTTATTTTATTATTTGGTTCATCAGTTACATTTGTTATAATAATTTTTCTGTGACATTTCAGAAACATATATGGTGAACTTGAGGTAAAATCAGGAGTATTGTGGGAATTTAAAAAATCTTTCAACAGCTGGGCATAGTGGCAGATACCTGTAATCCCAACTACTTTGGAGGCTGAGACAGGGATTGTGAGTTTAAGATCAGTCTGAGCAATATAGTGAGACCCTGCCTCAAAAAAATAAAAACAAAAACAGGGAGACCAAGATATGGAAGCAGGAGGGAGGAAGAGGAGTGGATTGTAAGGATTATAAAAAGAATTAAGATGTGTTTTGTACATGTACCAACTCCCCACAAAGAACGTAATCATTATGTACAGAACACATATACTAATAAAAATAAAAATTAGAAAGAAGAAAACAAAACAAAAACAACAAAATCTTTTAACAGAAATTATGACAATGATTGATGAAGAATCTTTTTACAATAAAGAAGTATTAAGGAAGAGGAGGAGGAGAGGTGCAGGAGGAGGTAGAGGAAAGGAGAAAGAAAAAGGGGAAGAGGAAGGAAAAGAAGGAGCAGACGGAGGGGAAGCAGAAATC